GTATGAGGATTTCCAGAGTGGAAAGCTAATGTGTCCTAAATTATACTGCTCCCTTAATCTCTTACAGATAGAAATTTCGTTACTTGTTAAAACTCAATGACTAAAATACACAAAAAGGAAAAAAAGGTTCTGGTCCCCATGCAAATCATATAAACGAATGTGACCACAAAAGTACAGAACTAAGTAAGGCAGAAGATCTAAGATCAAAACGGTTCCTTGCTTTGTTACAGAGAAAAGAGGAAAAACTGAAGGGTGAATATTGTATTCTTGATATGTATTCAGCACTCTTAAATAGCAGCTTGGATTCAGAAAAATATACAGAGAATTTCGCTTGTGCAGTTTGGATTTCCTGTCTCCTCTTTCCAGCTGTAGCCTGTGGTGTCCCTTAAACATTTTCTCATGACTGTCATGGAAAAATTGAGAGGTATTTAAGTCTAACTTGGGGGAGAACTTGAATCAGCAGAATGAAAAAAACATAACCGTCATTTAGATAAGAATATATTTGGACTGCAGCAAAAATCTAATAACTAGAAATTTCCTTTATCCCATCCTCCCCAGCACCACCATCAGCTCAGTTTCCTAATATACAGAGTTCTTGGAATTAAAGCATTTCAGCTTATCTGAGAAACAAGGTCTTATTGTGAAAGTAAAGCAGAGCCAAGCATTATGTAGAAAGGAATTCTGAAGAATATTTTATAACGTTTGAAGCAGGATTGTTTAGAATGACAAAAAAAATGAAATTGCCAGTATTCAATTTATTTATGAGGAGTTTTGGCATCTGCCAATGGGACTTCATTATTAGGACATTTAATTCTTCTAAGCAACTATTATTAGAGTATAAGGCCTATTGGAATTACATCTAGCATTTGCAATTTCTGAATGCTACCATTGGTGGCACATCCTCCAGCACCTAAACAGGAGCTTCAAAAAGGAAAAAGAAAAAAGAAAGAAAAAGAGGCATCATAACACTTCTGTTTCCATTTAGGTAGATGTCTAATCACAGACAAAGCTTTTAAGGATGTACACCAATTTCTGGTGACTGATTGCTTCCACTACTGACTAAATGCTGACTTGAGTTCTCGGAAGGCTGCTCTGCGGTGCCGTCTTTCCTCTTCCTCACGCTTTCGCTCATCTTGTTCTGCTTTTATTTCTGCTTCAAACTTGCTTGATGAAGACAAAGCTTGAACCTAAAATTCAGGTATGAAATGGTTAATATAATTGCAACAATTGTAAAAAAAAAACAACCACTGTATTCAGTGGAGCTTATCTCATTATCACAAGTACACAGCTTGTGCAGAGAGAAAAAAATTCACATTATTTGTGAGTAGCATTACAATGGCCACATTCCAGGGTCAGGACAAATATTTGATTTGATTTAAATAACAAAATTCATTTTGTGTCATTATTTTCTATACACTCAACAATTTGTGGTAACTTGGAAAAACCCCAAGACACCTTACACATATTTTTTTACCTTTGCTTCAAAAAAGTTTTTGGCTCCTTTTACTCCTTCAAGAGCCACGTCTATTTCAGAAAGCTTTGCTAAAGCCATCAATCCACTGTCTTCTTCAAGTTCTCCAGCTGCAGCTTTATGGAAAATCAGAAGAAACTAGGGGAAATAATACAATGGGAAACTATTTAGAAAAACTAAATAAGATTAAACTCCAAGTCTAAGATTGGAGATTCAAAATTAAACTTCTGCATTTATTCTGAAAATGTATTTGTTTAGAGTCCAAATAGATAAAGATTTGTGGCTAGATCATAACCTTATTTAAATGTTTATTTAAAAGCTCCCATAACTATAGCAACTGTAGACATATATACACAAGAGGACACTACACTGGGGAAGATTAGGTTAACATTTTTCTGCAATGTTACTTCCCTTTGCTCCTCCCACTCAAAAGTTGGCAGCAGCAATTGGTATCTGTGAGCAACTGCTCAGTACTTCAAGCAGCACCAGGTAGCTGTAATATAGCCAACCCCATAAAATAGTTCCCATTAATGCCTTTATGGCAACATTAGTCTAGGACATTGATTGAAAGCCTCATTCTGCTGAAACATTACCATTACAGTCTGGTAAATCCATTAGAGCCTACTGACAGAGGAGGAGACCCATCAGATAAATGTTTTGTCCCAACTTCCCCACAAACAACTAAGAAGAACATATAACCTACAGCTTCTCTAAGGAAGGCTATTAAAAATAAATAATTTATGACAGAGGAATAAAGATTGCACTTCTATCTCCCTTTTTCTGATGAGAAACCCAAGACCAAAGAGAAGTTTAAAAGAAGACCAAAGATGCTATTAAATTTTAGAGTGATACTTTATTCAAAGTTATTGCTTCTAGCTAGTTTATATTCCAAATTTCAACATATCCATATATTCAATGGATTCAATTGTATTTCCACTTTACAAGGAGAGAAAATTATAAACCCTTAGCAGAGAAAACCACAAAATAATTTTTCAAGTTCTACAGACAATTCTGGCTGCAACTTTTACTACATATAATTGATAGCACTGATTTCACTATTATTCTGTGCAGAATTCATATTTTTTCACTAGGGGACAGTAGAATCTAATGATACTAATAATGTGATATATATATATATCAGGAAGTTAGGCATCTGGCAGAACTGTTTGTTCCCAAGTTTTCGTTCTTTTTCCTACTAGCTTACTAATATAGCATCTGAAATAAAAAAAATAAAACTCCCTAAATGCCCCAGGGATGGGTGGGAGAAGATTACAAAACTGCTAAACTGTTTCAGACCATAGTTAGAATGGGTGTATTCATCCAATCATGTAGTACTATTTGCTAGGACAGTACTTAACAATTCCTCAGTGAATCACATTCTCTGGCTCAACTTGTGCCTATAAACAAAGGCTGTGCCACGATGATGAAGTCATTACTCATTGCAATACAGTACAGAGACTAAAGACTACTGTAGGATAGAGGGACTGAGCTAACACATCAAATCTCTAGATTTCCCTCTCAGAATACCAGTTTGTTCCTAATATTAAACTATCTACAGAAACTTTCATGCAGTGGGAAAAACAAACAATTATGAAGATGTCTTCTTGGAGGAAATTGGTAATTTAATCCCCTTGTGTATTTCGGCATGTTTCCCCTAACAAATAGAGGACTTAAAATCTCCTACCCATGGTGTCTTATTTCAAGAGAAATCATGAGTCATCCTATCTTAATGTTGTGCTTTCCCCGATAGCTTGGTTAAGTTATAGCACCATCTACCATTCCTAAACTGTCAGAAAATTAAATTTGCATAAAATGTCTCTATTGGCAATATCTATCCTGCCTCTATAGCATCTGTTCAACCTTACTGCCCAATGGTAATGCCTTAATTCCAATTGTGCAATAATGGAAAGCCATTAAATGAATCATCTCCCCCATTTCCCTCCCTCTCTCCCCCCCTCTCTCACCACACACACAATTTTTAAATATGATAAAAAATATATAAAATTAAAATATTAAGATAGGTGGCTGATAAATGCCTAGATGGCTAAGCCATCTGTTAAAATCTGGTATTTTCCAAGCCATTAAATGGTGATCAGTGGAAAGAATGTACTCATCAATAAAATGGGACAGACCTTTAATCTTGTTGGATCCGGGGTCCCCAACCCCCAGTCCACGAACCAGGACCAGTTCGCAGCATGCCAGAAATCAGGCCACGCAAACAAACAAAGCCCCATCTGCAAGATGCAGGCAGTACATAAAACCACACCCCCTTCAGTCCACGGAAAAACATCTCTCCACGGAATCAGACCCTGATGCCCAAAAGTTTGGGGGCTGCTTAGCTAGATAGTTCTCCCAGCATGACAATAAGCAGGATAGCAGGTTTCCTTTGATCATAGGTTTGTTTTTTTTAAACAGGGCTCAGCCTGCCTCAAACCAAGCTTATCAAACAGCCAATCTCCTACCTTTCATGCAACTCTGGCAATTAGCTTCTGGATAAGCTCCTTTCTGCTATAGAAGTAGGCCCACATGGCAGCTGATTGTCAGAGCTGCCCAGTGCAGCCTCTCTTGCTTTACTGACAACTCACCTCATTAATCAGATGACAGGTTGTTTTAACAATAAGTTGTTTTATAGTCTTTTAAAACTGGAGTTTCTTTCTGGAGGATTAAAAAAATGGAGTAGAGGAAATTGCCCAAAGTAAAGTGTGTCAGAATATACTCACCATTATACTTTCATGGATCATTGCTGGCTTAATGGACAAAAAACTATTTTAGATGATTCTACCTGTTCTGAAAGGGTTCTGAAACCCTTTGCTGGAGAACAGAATATGTAGTTGGCCAAATTAAAGCTATTTTGCCAGTTCCTGCATCTAAATCATGTTCATTACTCCTGAATTGATGCATTCAATTCAGGAGTATTCATGGGCTGAAAAACTATTTTAGATGATTCATGGGCTGGAATGCGATAAAGGCAAAGTCAAGGAAACTGGGCAGATAGTCTAGTGGTTAAGGCACTAGAGGGAGTTCTAGACTGTCTTAAGCATGAAAGCCAGAGGGGTGAATTTGGGTTAATCTCAGTCCAATCCACCTCACAGGGTTGTAGTTGTTGTGGGAAAATTAGAAGGATGTAGGAGTATTGGGTATGCTTGCAACCTTGAGTATATATCATTACTAAGATT